TAATATAAGAAACGAAGTTCAAGCCTCAAAGTAAGCGCCTCCTGAAAGCAAAGGGAAGAAAGCAGGAAAGGATAAAATCCAACTATAGAACAAGCACTTTCTCAAACTGAGTCAAAATCATTAGGTAGAAGACCCAGGAATGTGCATTTTAGCAAGCTCTGCTGGTGATTCTTATGCACACCGAAGGTCTGTACCTAAAAGAAATGTACACAAAATAGATGGAGTGCATCTTGAGCCTTCTACTTTGGGATTTAGATAGAGTTGGTTCATGAAATTCAAGGGACTCCCTAACTCTAAAACTCATAAATGATGGAGGGTGTTCACTCGGATACAACACCCATTCCTCTATCACAAAATTCACAAGATGCTTCAGTTATTAATACTGTCAACAGCCCTATGCAGGAAGTTTGACCTCCCGAAGATCCACAGCGGTGATGAGATCTGAACCAGGACTTCTGGTTGCCGTGCTAGTGTTCTTTTTCACTATACTATTGAAAATGATGGGGGGTGGGATGGGATTATAGTTGAAATGGAATTTTGAGGGGAAAAGAAAGAGGATCAAAACATAGTATCTCTAAAACAACGAGATATTCTTTCTTACCCAGCATTGGTAAAAATTAGAAAGTCTGGGCTTCCCTGGTGGCACAGTGGTTGAGAGTCCGCCTGCCGATGCAGGGGACGCGGGTTCGAGCCCCGGAAATATTGTTAATGCTTTTGGCAATTTTTTGGACCAAGACAACAAGAAAAGAGAATGAGAGAAAAGAAAAGACTTGAGGAAGGATTATGTTAATCAGACAAAGTGGGAGAGAAAACCTAAAGATAATGATAAAATGGTAAAGCTAAGGAAGCCTTTTGGATGCTTTGAAGGGACATAGGGACTCACGCTTTAACAGGGCCCTGCACACTAGCTGTGTTTTTAACTTCTATCCAGGAAAAAAAAAAAAAAAGAAAGTCTGACTTTATCAGATGTCATTAAAGGCATGGAACTCTGGGAAGTCTTAGAAGCCTGTTGCAGGGTATATAAATTGGAACCAATTTGAAGAGCAATTTGGTAATATCTAGTGAAGCTGAAGATGCATGTACCACAGGCTTATGATCCCAAGAAACTCTTTCATGTGTATCCAGTATATTTATTGCAGCATTTTTGTAATCAAGGGCAGATCCAGTTCTGTGGGACTCAAAGCTTATGTAATTTGGGAGGTTCTCTTTAAGAAAAATAATACAAAATTACAAATACTAAAGTAAATATTTATTTAGAATGAGAAGAAATTTCTTGAGCCTCTGAAATCCATGTCCCTTTATTCTGAGTTCCTTTATAAATGCTTTCTGATTGCTTCCTCTCTCACCCTACAATTCCTAGCAATTCCCAGCACTGCAGGGGGGAAAGAGATGGGAGGGAAGGCAGAGGGGAGATGTGCATGTGAATAAGGGGCTCTAAATTTCATGAGCTTCATGGTAAATCCGTCTCTGTTTGTAATACAGAAACACTGAAAACAGCCCAAATGGCTATCAGAATGAGAATGAATAAATTATGGTACATTTATATAATGGAATATTAAAAAGAATGAACTAGACCTATATGGATATATCTCAAAAACTAAATTTGAGTTGGTTACTAATGCTCTGCTGTGTGTATTCCCTTAATTGACCATTTACTCATCAGTTTCTCTTTCTAGATTATGAGCTGCTTTTCTGAAAGTTCAAAACTACAAATGTGACTTTTTATGCTCTGTGCATGTACCTTACTATTTTTAAAGTTAAGTTATAGTAACGATTGTTAGCTCCTTCAGAGAAACCTAAGATGCTTACAATATCCACTTCTTTTCTACATCTAATGTCTCCATAATTTCTGCATCAAGTACTATGTTCCTTTGTACTCTGAAGTCATGACCTTGAAATCAAGTTTTGGGGGTTGAAAGTTTTATGACTAGATTCAAACACAATGAAAACCATGAACACTGACTGGTACTCCATGGTAGTATGGGGTATCAGCATAGTGCCTACCTTTTAGAGCTCTGAAGCTTTGTAAGTTTAGCTGGAAACTGTCAAGCCGAGCCTGGTTAAAACTTTCCCCAAAGCTGACAAGTAATGCTGACAGTGTTCATTGCACACACCTGCAGTATCAAAAGGTAACAGGAAGGATGTTTCACTTCTGTTCCTCACTTCAGGGCCCTTCAGGGAACTCCATGGATCACAGAGAGCCTGGTATGCATGCTACAGAAAGCAAGTCCTCTTTATGTTGTAGGGAGAACAACTGAAGGGTTGCTTGATCACTGGATTACGAATGGGTAAGAGAATGGACTCTAGTGCCAAACTGCCAGTGTAACTTGGTACAAATTATGAAACCTGAGTTTCAGTTTCTCCTTTGAAAACTGGGGATGATGCTACCACCCCTACTTCAGAGGGCTGTTATGAGGATTAAATGAGTGAATATGTGAAGAATGTATTAACAGTATACATTAATATTAACATATTAATCCTGGAACATAGTAAGGATTCTATGGCACTAGCCATCATTATTACCAGCAGTAATATATTCATTTTGGAAAGATCACTGTGGCAACTGTCTGGAAGATGATGAGTCTAAAAGGGGAAGTGTCACTCCAACACTGAAAATAGAAATAAATAAGAAGATGATATGATTTGATACAGTACAAAGAGTGGCTTGAACTTAGCACCAGACACACAAATACTGTAGTCAACTTTCAGTGATCTACATTTTAAATGAACTATCGCTAGTTTTCAGTTTCACCCACTGGTTTCCCTTGCCTTCATCATACTACTGGCCAGTGGCCCCCTGCTCAGAAAACAACCCTTTGACTTAAACAAGTAGTAGGTGACAGGGCAAAAGAAGTCAGGATCCTCACTCTCTGAGACTCAGACTTCAGTTCTTAAGATGCACACTGGGGAGGACCAGGTAAAGAAAGAAGGCAAGACAGACGGCCTGGGAAGGAAGTGAGCCAACTGGTCACTATTTTTGGTCCCTTGGACAAGGTAGCATAGTCAAAGAGGAGATTTGAACTGGGATACATATTATTGGTATGTATGCCAGATTGTCTTGTTCCCCAGATTTTGCAACCAATACCAAAGACATACTTTTTTTTTTAAGGCCCATAGCTACATAATTCAGAAGGCATTTAGCTGCAAGTTTCCATATTTCTGTTCTCAAGGTTCAAGAAGTGTCCAAGAACTTGGTATGGGTGCTATTTTCTAGTCTGTTTTGAGAACAGTTTTACAATTCTTCCAGGCTTTTTGCCCTCCTGGCAACCGTTCTTGCCCACCTTCTGGCAGGAAACGCTCTTTCCTACATCCCAACCTGGCAAAATGCTGATCCTCCTCCAAAACTCAGCTTATTTCCTTTTGTAGGCTACCACTTCACTTGGCTTATACATTTATATTGGTACTTATTAGTTTATATTACAATTCTCTGTTTTCTTGCCAGTCTCCATGTCTAGACTATGAGTTCCTTGATGGAAGGGACAATGGATTTATTTCCCACCTCGGAGAGACTGTATAGCATGACAGTTTAGTGGATGGAGCCAAGATTTCCAGGTTTAAATCTCACATTTATAGAATGTATATCCTTGAGCAAGTCATTTAACTTTTCTGTGCCTAAGCTCTCTTATCTGTAAAATGGGCATAATAATAGTGCAACTTTAAGTAACTAGCCCTTACTTCTTTCTTTTAATCACATAGAAGACTAGTTGATGAGTATCAATGAGTTACAGAAAAAAAAATTTTTTTTGATATGTTTAAAAGGTGGTCTAGGGCTTCCCTGGTGGCGCCGTGGTTGAGAGTTCGCCTGCCGATGCAGGGGACACGGGTTCGTGCCCTGGTCCGGGAAGATCCCACATGCTGCGGAGCGGCTAGGCCCGTGAGCCATGGCCGCTGAGCCTGCGCGTCCGGAGCCTGTTTTCCACAACGGGAGAGGCCACAACAGTGAGGCCCGCGTACCGCAAAAAAAAAAAAGTGGTCTAATACATGAAGGGGTCATTGTTTCCAGGTCAAATAAACGCAGATAACTGTGTTGGAAAAGGAAAGAGAGAGGCTCAAAGATTCTGGCAGGCAATGCCCAGCAATTCCTCCACTCTCTGTCCAACAGCTTCACACTATCATGCCTTCTCTGACTACCCCGTTCCAAGTCTCTTCACTTACTCTTACCTGTCAAAGGGTTACCTTCTGTAGCAAGCCATCTTTGGCATCCCACGCTTAGGCTGTGTCAGGGAACTGATCACCCTTTTATTCAATTGTCTGTTTAGATGTTTGATACCACTCAACTGTGACTTTAGCAGGGGCTCTGCCTTGTTTTTCTCTGTTCTCAGAACTCCGAAAAGACTGATCCCCTCACGCTAATCCTCTCAACAATCAAGAGTCTCCTTCTGGCCGCTTTCCTTCTGCATCAGTCACTCCTTGCCCTTCACTTTGCGTTCCTCAGCATCACCCGGAAGCTTTAGAAATGAGGACTCTAATACCTCGCCCCAAGTGGGTTACCTAGTTCCTTCAACGCTAACCTCTACAACCCTAGCGTCTTAACTCCGCCCCATCTCAGCTCCTGACCCCGCCCCTTCCTCCGCTTCACCGCCTATTTAAATGGAGTCACAAGTACGCATGCTCCCTCTGAACTTCCTCGTAGCGTGATGGCGTTAGCGTTGGCGTGGTGACGTAGGGGTGGGTGTCGCGTGGGTTTCAGCTCGGGGGAAGTGCGTGAGTTTAGAAGCTACGCGGGTTTGTGGGGTGTCCCGGGAGCTCAAGGCGCGCGCTTTCTCTTTGGCGTTCGCCGCTGAACGTCTTGTGTCCTTTCCGCCCTTTCGGGGAGGGGGAAAGCAGAGCTTCTTCACGAGCTGGGGCCCGTGAAGGAGAAGGGAGCCAGCGGGGGACTCTGGAGTGCCTGAGGGCAGGGCTGCAGCCCGGAAGAAGGGAGAAGAGAGGGTTCCCGTAGGCAGGGTCCGCACGCGCTGGGATCGGGGCTAGTCCCGAGAAGGGCCTGGGGCGGCCGCGCTATGTTCGGGGCCCGGTGCCTGCTCCGAGCCCTGCGCTCCTGTTCCTCGGCTCCCTGCCCAAGGCACAAACCTTCAGCCAAACTGAGCGTGCGGGACGCTCTCGGGGCCCAGAACGCAAGTGGGGAGCGCGTTAACGTCCAGGTTAGTGTATCGCAAGAGAGTGGGTTTGTCCTTTTCGTTGAGTGATATGGCACGTCCACGTCTAGGCTTGCCTTGTGCTGTCGGGTCGGACAGAACTACCGGCAGGGCAAAGTTAGAAAATGTAGGCAATCGTGTGGGTCCACGTTTTTCTCCTCTCATTGGTTACCGTTAGTTTTGCCTGGAAAGTGCTGGAACTTTGCTTTCATGATACAGGTTTTTACCCGTAAACTTGTTAATCATACAGCAAAATGTACGAGCCGCTTTTCTTTTGTCCCTCATAACGTGTGTCCACAGTTATATAGCTCCTTGAGTGCAGGAACTATGTCTTACCCGTCTTGATAGCCGCACATAGCTGGCAGTAAATATTTGTTCAACTAAACCATACCTTTTATTCAACTTTTAACCACCTCAGTGCCTAAAATGGGGCTTTGCATAAAACTTATGTTAATAAATTAGGAGAACGAGTGGAGTGTAGCAGTTTGAAAGAGCTCTGGAGTCAGGCTGCCTCGTTGTAAATCTCTGCCGCTTAGTAGCTTGTTAATTATGGGCGTGCCACTTAACGTGCTCTAAACCTCAGTTCCCTCTTACGAGAATGGAGATAATAGTCCTTACCTCACAGAGTCCTGAAGATTAGTTACAAAACATTTAGGACAGTGGCCCACCGTGAATAAATGTTAGTTGCTATCATTTCTCTTGTTAATAATAATATTTGCAGCGGCTCCACACAGAAGGTACCTCCTTAAAGGAGCAGACCAAGCAAGGAGGTTTGACTTACTAGGTTGCTGAAACACACTGATGCAGTTATTTTTGCTGTCCTCACATATCCTTGATTTTTAGCAGTATGACCAATTTCCCCCTCTTTGCATTTCTTTGGGTTTCATATTCTTTCTATTATCCAAATCAAAACTTTTTCTTGCATTAACCTATTAATTCGACACACATTAATACCTTTGTGTGCTAGTCTAGAGAGGATTCAAAGATGAAAAGAACAGAACCTACTCGCTAGGTTAGAGGCTTTCACTTTAGTGCTGTGCAGTGTAGTTTAGAAGTATCTGAATTGAGTGGTACTGTAAGTGTAAAATAGACACTAATTTTGAAGAACAAAAGAATGCAAACTATCTCAGTATTTTTAATATTGATTACATGTTGATATATATTTTGGGTTCAATAAAATATACTATTAAAATTAATTTAACCCATTTCTTTTTTATGTAACCACTAAAAAAGTAAAATTACATATGTGGCTCACATTTTTTGTCAGGCAGCCCTGGTCTGATGGCTAAGACAAGAAATGACAACAATGTGATAAGTATTAGTGGTATAAATAGAAAACTTTGAGAATACAGAGAAGGAAGTTCTTAACAGTGTGAGGAGGTCAAAGAAGACTTCTTGCGTGAGGTGACATTTCAGCTGAGTCTGGAAGGATGTGTTCCTCAGGTACAGGAACCAGGGATAGGGTGGAAATATTTCAGAAGAGCTTGTTGACAAGAACATGAACTTTGAACTGAGATCGGTGTTTGAATTCCACCTGTACTACTTGGTAACCTTGAGTATTTAACAAGGTTATCCTAACTCCTCTAAATATGTTTCATCTCTAAAGTGATAGTTCTTGTGAGGATTAAGTAGAAAAATATTTATAAAGAGCTTAGGACAGAAGCACATTAAACAGTGCTCCATAAATGTTAACTTTTACTAACAAGTAAAAAGCAAGGCATTGGTGCTTTGGACTGGGCATGTTCACGTTATGAAGGGCCTTGTATGTGAGACTGAGGCAATTTACGCTTTATTCAGCATAGCCCTGGAGAAAGATCAAGCGCTTCCTAGTAGACTTGGGTTTAAATTCAGGCTCTGCCCTTTACCAGCAGTGTGCCCTCAGGCAGGTTATTTAACTTCTCTGAGCCTCAATTCTTCACTTGTAAAACGGGAATAATGATAATGCACATTGCTGTTGTGAGGAGGAGGTGAAACTATGTGAAGAAGGTAGTAAAATGTTTGTCACATAGTAGATGTTCAGTACATGATATTCTTCCACTGGAAACTATTCATGGATTTTCTACTGTGTGCCTGACAGTAGCCTTCAATGCAACTAAAAATGTGATTCCTAAACCCACAAAATATTATGGACATGCAAATAAGTAATAGAAGGGCTTTAATAACAGTGTCTATTAGGGTGTGGTGGGGATACAAAGAAAGTCAGGATCAGTACAGTTTTTCTAAGTAGGATCATCTCACTTTTCCCAAGCACGTTTGATGGTTAACCGAACACCAGCAACTGTTCACAGTTGTTCAGAGGCTGCTAGAATATTCTCTCAACCTCTATGCTAGTTAAATTTAACTAGCATAGATGTTGTCATCTGTGAGAGAGCTGTTTTTTGTGTTCTACTTGAAGACATCTCATTTGTACTCATGCATACCTGTCATTTAAATTCAGAGTGTCTTTGAAAGTTTATGTGCTACTTAATATGATCATAATAAGTTTCTTGAGAACTCTTTTAGTATGATACTTTGTAAAAAAGAAAACCCCATAAAGATGTTTCTAGTCTATAACTACATAATCTCCCTTCTGGGAATTTGATATAAAAGGAGAAAGGAACCAAAATATGTGCCCTGTTATGTGTAATGGTGGGGGAGGGGCAGGGGCAGGAAGAAAACCTGGAATATTAGGGGGATTGGTTATGTGAATTAGGCTCATCGACCTAACGGGATTTGGGACGTCTTATTCAGAATGATGAACTTTATTAACAAAACGACAACAACAAGAAAGGTGGAATGCCAAAGCTGTATTTCACTGTGATGAGGACCATATAAAATTATATATGCATATTGGTAAACTAAAAGCAATTGATTTCTTCAGGCAGGATTATGAAGACTTATGTTTTTTTCATTTAGTCCTCTGTATGTGTAATGAAAATATAAAATGTTTGTATTTTAAACCCACATTTAGAAATATTTCTCATTAGGGATGGATTCGTTCAGTCCGATCCCAGAAGGAAGTCTTGTTCCTGCATGTAAATGATGGGTCATCTTTGGAAAGCCTTCAGGTTGTAGCAGATTCAAGCTTTGTCAGTAGGTGAGTTTTGTTTGTTTGTTTGTTTGTTTGTTTGTTTTTTAAGAGTACTTTGATTTTTTTTCATCTCCTCTGTTCCCCATTTCCCTAATCCAAGTGTTCATATTGACCCCTCAGTGATCTTTCTAAACAAATCTGCTTTTCATAGCTTTGAGGCTCAAGTCCAAATACTTAGAATCAAGATCCTTTTCTCCTCTCTCTAACATCTTCGCATGACAATATCCCCCACCTATCCTTTGCTTCTCTCAACTATGCGCAGCTCTTAACCCAATTAAAGGTAAAATCTTCTATCATTAAATGGTTTAGGGACTTCCCTGGTGGTCCAGTGGTTAAGACTCCATGCTCCTAATGCAGGGGGCCCGGATTCGATCCCTGGTCAGGGAATTAGATCCCGCATGCCGCAGCTAAGACCCGGTGCAGCCAAATAAATAAATAAATAATAGTTTAATGTTCTGAGAGCAAGGTTGGTATTAATGTGAGGGCTACATGTAAGATCTTGTTTATGATATTGTTTTGTTATTATAGAGAACTGGCGTTTGGGAGTTCTGTGGAAGTTCAAGGGCAGCTGGTAAAAAGTTTGTCCAAAAGGCAAAATGTGGAACTGAAGGCAGAAAAAATTGAAGTTGTTGGAAATTGTGATGCCAGGGTATGTGTTGTGACACGATTATGGAGGCCGTTAAGGCTTAATTTAAAACATTAGCAGTGTTTTAAGTGTGATTATTGGGAAGATGGCACTTGGAACTTTTCGATTGTGACTTCCTAGATAATTGAAACAGGCTATAGACTGAGGAATGTAGAAAGAGTAGCAAAAAGTATTTATGTAGATGGCGGAGCCTTAGGAGTGAGAGCTAAGTGATAATACTCTGTGTATCTCTGTGGTGCCTGTCACTGTTGAGATTTGCCACTTTACAAGCATGTCTAGTCAGCTGCAGTGACAAAGACATACCAGGGCAAACCACATTCTTAGAACTGTACCATCTGGTGCAATAGCCACTAGCCACCCATGGCTATTTAATATTAAATCAGTTAAAATTAAATTAAAAATTCAGTTCCTCAGTGACATTAGCCACATTTCAAGTGCTCAGTAATCACATGCAGCTAGCAGCTGTCGTACAGCATTGCACAGGTACAGATCATTTCCGTTTATCACAGAAAATCCTGTTGGATGGTGCTAGAGTGTGGGGATGCTTAGGCTGAACAAAGATAAGAAATTCTACATTAAGACCTGTTTATTCCTGTTTTTGCAAGACTCTTCTGTTAGTAGCTTTTTATGTAGAGCCTGATAAAGAGGTTAGAGGGAATAAAACTATAGATTATCAATCCAGTTTCTATTTGGAGAAAATGAGACCCAATCAGGTAAAACGACTTGCATTAGGTCATATTGCTGATTAGTGGCACAGCTGAAGTTTATGTGCTAGCCATTTTAACCCCCTGTGGTTTAGCTATACTCATCTTCAAATATTTAATGAACAAAAAATGAGGAATATAGGGAAATAGCATCATTTTAATTCAAATTCATTTTTAGTTCTTTTGGATAATTGAAATGTTAACCATTTTTATTTTTGATTTTTTAGAGGGATGTTTGATTATTAAAAATTTGCCATGTGTTTTACTCTTCTTAAATTGTTTTCCCTTGGTGGGTATTGATGCTTTCCACTACTCTTCCCCCTCGTTTCAGGGTCATTTTTAAGTATTCAGCATTAGGGAATTCTGAACCTGCTTACAGTCCCCAGATTCCTGTTAATGTGATCATATTGTCACTTTCGTAGGTATGGGATCTGTTTCTATATGACATAAATTAATGTGCGCACAAGGCCTAAAAGGAATAGATAGCTATGTTGGTAGCCTGTTCTAGAGTTCTTTTACTTAGCTTCTCTGTTATCTTTTTTATTGAAACTTTGCTTTTGGTCTGAAACTTTTATCCTATCTTCTCAATCTTGTAAAATGAGTGTGGGCAGGGAAATTTTTCCAGGTAGAGTCATAATTTCCTTTAAAATTTTTATGAATATACATTGCTCGTCCAGATGACACAAAGCTGTTGACCCTCGCTCATGTTCTGAAACAGCAGCACATGTTGATAAATGGTGATAAATAGTGCCAATTGATTATGAGCGCTTGTGGACTTTCAAGACATTTGGGCAATTTTAAAATTCAATAGTAGAAAACATAATGTTTAATATCTACAATATTCTAAACTCATGTGTGCCAAACAGTGGAGTGTTTTGGGTAACTATATCCTAATCTCTCTATTTGTAAGTAGTGATTGATAGCTAACGGATAGAAATTTGATAAATAACAGATTAGCCTTGGTGATAATAAGTAACTTTGCCCAAGGTTCCAAAGCTAATAAGTAGTAGGGCTGAATTTAAACCCACATCTTTCTGATTTCACTCACTGTTCTACAAACTTGTTAGAATTAATGTGGACCCTATTCAGTTATGTTAAGAAATAAGGAACGAAAGCGTCTTAGTTTTATTCTAAAGCATTACTATTTAACAAATGCCCTGTAAACTGATTTTATAAAACTGTATTTCTTTTAGCTTCTAACTTGTTTTTCCTTTTATTGTCAGGCTTTCCCTTTTAAATATAAAGAGAGGCATCCTCTGGAGTATCTGAGACAATATCCTCACCTTAGGTGTAGGACTAATGTTCTGGGTTCTATACTGAGGGTTCGCAGTGAAGCCACAGCTGCTATCCATTCTTTCTTTAAGGTAAGGAGCTTTGCTTCTAGGTGTTCTTTCTTGTGAAGAAGTTGAATAATTGTAATACTGGAGTATTATCCTGAAAGTTCTTCGGGTTATTTATTCCAAGCACCCTTTATTGTGCGGTACTTTTTTCTTTGGCTGGTTTTAAATTTTCTGTTTATCACTGGTTTTGAGTAATTTGATCAATGTGTGCCTTGGCACAGTTTTCTTTATGTTTCTTGTGTTTGGAGTTCATTGAATCTCTTGAATCTATGCATTTTAATTTTCACCAAGTTTTTCAGTCATTATTTCATCAAATATTTTTTATGTTACCTCTCTCTTTAGGGGACTTCAGTTACCCATATATTAGGCCACTTGATGATATCCCGATAGCTCTCAGATGTTCTTTCCTTTTTAAAAAATCTTTTTTTTCCAGCATGTTTCTTTTGGGTAGTTTCTATTACTATGTCTTCAAGCTTACCGATCTTTTCTTCTGCAGTACCTAATTTCTTATTCCTGTCCAGTGCATTTTTCACCCCATATCTAAGTGAAAGGCTTCATAATTAAGTGTTTGATTTGGGCCTTTTTTTTTTTAGTGTCTTCCGTGTCTCTACTTAACTTTTTTGAACATATACAATACAGTTTTAGTTAAAACTGTACAGATTTCATAGCTGTTTAGTAACTTTTTACGTCCTTCTAACGTGTCAGCTATAAGTCAGTTTTAATTGATTGATTCGTCTCTTCATTATGGATTATGTTTTCCCGCTTCTTCGTATATCTGCTAATCTTTGATTAGGTGCCAGACCTTGTTATTTTTACCTTGTTGGGTGCTGGATATTGACAAAGCTTCTTAAGCTTTGTTTTGGTATGTAGTTAAGTTACTGGAAGGGTCTTGCTTTCATGATTTGTTAAGTAAATCTGGAGCAGTGCTCAGTCTGGGTCTGATTATTCCCCACTACTGAGGCAAAGCCTTCCTGAGTATTCTGCCTAGTGCCTTGTGAATTACAAGATTTTCCAGCCTGGTTTGTGGGAGCAGGCATTGTTTCCAGCCACATACGAGCACCAGGCGCTGTTTCCTCTAATCGTTGTGGATGGTTCTTTCCCTGGCCTTGGATAGTTTCCTCACTTGCATGTGCTGATCATTCCTCCACCTAATACTCCAGGGTGACTCCCTGTACATCTCTGGGGTTGTTGGACAGCTGTCTGCTCTCTGATGCTCTGTCCTGTCAGTTCTAGCCACTTTGGTCTCCTCAACTCAGGGAGTCTGCTGGGCTCCACTTTATTTCTCCCTTCTTCCTACTGTGGCCTGGAAAATCTCAAGGTAGTAAGCGGGACTGCTGGTAGGGTTCACTATGTTTGTTTCCTATCTCTCAGGGATCACTCTCCTTTGTTGTCTGATATCCAGTGTCTTGAAAACCATCATTTCATGTGGTTTGCTTGTGGATTTTTTTTTTTTTTTTTTTTTTTTTTTTGCGGTACGCGGGCCTCTCACTGTTGTGGCCTCTCCCGCTGCGGAGCACATGCTCCAGACGCAGGCTCAGAGGCCTTGGCTCACAGGCCCAGCCGCTCCGCGGCATGTGGGATCTTCCCGGACCAGGGCACGAACCCGCGTCCCCTGCCACGGCAGGCAGACTCTCAACCACTGCGCCACCAGGGAAGCCCTGTTTTTGGTTTTTTTTGTTGCTTCAAATGGGAGGGTAAATCTAGTTCCTATTTCTACATCTTGGTCACAGACATTTTATATACAGTAAGCACTAATTTTAAAAAATTATTGGTGTTGATCAAGTAGATTGATCTAATGCCTAAAGACATTTTGTCTCACTTAGCTTTGCTTTTCAGCCATGTCCCCCAACCCGGGAAAGCCACAGTGGAATGTAGTTTGGTAAGTTGATGAGGTAAAGGGACCCTCCTTCCATGTGGTGGATGGAAGGGCTCCAAAAGCAAGAGTGACCCAATGGATAAAGTTCAGTATTATTCCATGTAGTTTTGGAACTCTTCCTAATCCACTTCTCCAGATCCAGCTCACTTGCAAAGATTGTCTGACAGCATACCCTTCCCTTGGACGGCATCCAAATTCATGCAGGCCCAACCCTGCCATAGCACATGAAGGAAGTTCTTGCTCTTTGAAAAGCTCCTTAAGAGGTAATTTTTTGTGTGACAGCTAAAGAACATCATGGCTTTAAAGCATAAGAATAAACAAAGGAAAATAAATCACATTATACAGTGTCATCCCATTATAGTGTGAAAGGGTGTGTTTACATATGCTCTCATAAACTTTCTTATGCATCTTCCATATGGCTTTTTTTTTAATAAATTTATTTTATTTATTTATTTTTGGCTGTGTTGGGTCTTCATTGCTGCCCATGGGCTTTCTCTAGTTGCGGTGAGCAGGGGGCTACTCTTCATTGCCGTGCGTGGGCTTCTCATTGCAGTGACTTCTCCTGTTGCAGAGCACGGGCTCTAGGCACGCAGCTTCTGTAGTTGTGGCTCAAGGGCTCTAGAGTGCAGGCTCAGTAGTTGTGGCGCATGGGCTTAGTTGTACCACAGCATGTGGGATCTTCCTGGCCTTGAACCTGTGTCCCCTGCATTGGCAGGTGGACTCTTTACCACTGCGCCACCAGGGAAGTCCCATCCATATGGCTTTTCAATAGTGCTTGAACCATACAAACAGAAAATTTGCTCAGATGTAAAAATCTTTTTTCCCTATATGGCTTTAACAGCTGATAAAGTCAGTGGATCTGCTTTAATTCTGAAAGTTTTATGGATTTCTGGCCAGTAGGTGGTGGTATTGGCAATCCATTAACAAGTGGGCTTTACCTAATTTATACATTTCTTATTACTTGAAGTTTTCACAGGTGTGTAAATAATTTTGAAATAATAATAAAATACACTAGAAAACTCTGAAATCAAAGAATAAGCAAAGTAAAGTAAAATTTAAAAAACATTTTAGGTGGTTGAAAATAATGAATTTTAGCACTGTTGGTGATGGTTATAAAGGTAGGTTCTTTTGAGTCTTATAAATTCACTTTTTAATTGTAAAGCTCTGGAAAATATAATCCTGATACCTCCTTCTAAGATGTCACTCACTTGTGTATGTGATAGGATTGAATTGTTTAAAGAAATAATGGGAGTACTATAGGACATATTAAATGTTAGTTGTATATTATCCTATATTTGGTACTGTTTCTATGTTTGTTACTTTAGGCTCGCTAAAAGATGTTAAGAACTAAAATGTAAAATTTTCAAAAATTTCAGACCTTGAAATATAGGGAGAAAGAAACTTGAGCACAAACCTTTTAGTTAGGATACTTTAAGGATCTAGAGTTTTTTGGTTTGAGTATCAAAAATGTTTAGTGTATAACTTGCTTTGCTTATAAAATTGACACATTTGCTGAGTACTAAAACATAAGTATCTAGAATCCTCAAAACATGAGTTATTTACGAGAGCTGAGTTTCTCAAATAATAGGATTATCTCTTCAGGCACCAATTTTTTTTCTAATTTCCAGTGGAAGTTATCCTAAAATGTATTACATACTTCCCTGGCTTCCTGAAGTGAGCCAACAGAAAAGAGTTTGACCTTTCCTGGTGAGTTGAGGTTCTTCCTCTGAGTATCAGATTGTTCTCTTCTCAGTATGGCAGTGGCTTCAAAGCCTGTCATGGTGAGGAGTGTTCTTTGACCCTGCGTTGAATGACCCTAGACCCTGCTGTGTCTTTGAGTTCCTGTGACTGCTTTTTATGGGGTGTTTTTTTGGTTTTTGTTTTGTTTTTTTGGTCTCTTGCTGTCACTTTTTGTCGCCAGTGGTGTGTCTGTGGCTAGCAATTGCTGTCATATGTTTCTTTTTTGTTGAGTCTGATTAAATAATATTTATTTTGTGTGTGTTAAAGAAAAATATAGTCCATGACTCTTTGAGTGATGTGTATGGGCCTTAGTACATGAATTTTGTAATTTTCAGATACTCATTCATTGCCTTATAAATATCTGGTTATAGCAATGTGTATCTATCAAAATACTTAGATATTTAGAGGTGATGGGTGGGATCTGAATAATTGGGCCAAAATTTTTGACCCCTTCTCTGTCCTTCATCTCTCTTATTAGGAACCCCTCTGCTGTGGGATAGGATAAGTACCTGACAGTGGAACCCCACTGGAGGCAGCCACTGAGAGTACTCCTGCTATTTATTTTCCTACTTCTCTATCCACTTTCTCTTTTGTGGACTTTGTTCTCGTCTTTGTTGTTCCTTTGTACCCTCTCCTGTATAACTTTTGGTGGTAATGATAGAGACTTTGATATGATAAGCCTTGCTAACACTGTTAAGGCTTAAAAAGCCGATGATGCCTTTTGAAAGGTTTAGCATTATTTGAGAATTGAGAATAATTCCCACTATTTGAGTGATTAAAAAAAAAAATCCCACGCAGTTATTTTCATAAGATTTACAGCATTGTTCCTTGTGGCAGTTGACCAGTTCTAACTTAGGCAATTATATTTAGCCGTTAAATTTTCTCCTCCCTCTCGCCACCCTTATTTCCTTTGGATTTTTCACTTCCTTTCTTTGTTTACTGCACTCATGCTCATAGTTGCCTTATGTGGAATAAATGATTCATGTCCATAATTCTTGGCTTCTAGGAGATAAAAATTTTATGCAGTAATGTTATTGATTCTATTTCATTTGTTCTCTATAATGTGCTCTGCGCAGCACCTCGCCACACGTTGTTCCCAGATTAAGTACATATTTGAACACTTACTGAGACTCCTAATTTATAGCTTGAAATTTTAATCAGTCTACATCATAAGGCAAGTTGTTGGCTGGATACTTTGTATCATAGCCAGAATACTTGAATTCAACCTTTTTAGGAAGGAAGGGGTAAATTTGGGAGGCTCCTGGTAATACACTGACATATTTTACGTTCCACCAGTAGGTACTGGCAGAATTTAGCAGAGATTAGATGGGTATATATGAACTTACTGTATTGATGTCAAGAACAAAATGTTTACATTGAACACATACTCTTATGCCTTTGCAGCATAAATTTCCTTTAGCTGCCTCCACCGCCACCCTGCAGCATTTATGCTGTCTGTAACCTTTCGCCTACGTCCATAGTCAAAGTGAAAGAAGCATAACCTTGAAGTTGCTGGGTTATTTCAGTTTTACTAGCAACAGCTTTTGTGGTTCACTAATGGAAATAGTCTCAGACTTTAGAGCAGAAGGATTGCAGTTGGGTGCCTTAGTAATGGATGGGTTTGCTGCTCACAATCTTCCTTGAGGCAAAGGAAGTGCACTGCCTGTGCCACGTGCGGTGCACTGTGCCATCGGTTTAATGACAGACTTCCTAAAAATCATTCCTGCCTTTTTGCTGTTTATTTCTTCGGTCCCTGATTGTCAACATTAATTTATCTCCTTTTTGGTGGTTTGTTACAATTGAGGGTCTCATTCCAAAATAACAACTTAATATTGGTCACTTTTATTCCCTTAGCAGTGTGGCCAACATCATTATGCATTAGCCCTGAGTGAGTGTGCGTGTGTGTTAAATCACTATCAGTATGTTGGAAAAGTGGGAAGAAGAAATGGCACCAGAGAGAGATCCTGAGCACCTAGGTTCTAGTCCCGGCTGTGATTCTGACTGGTTGTATGATTTTGGCCTCTCATTAAATCTCTCTGGGCCTCAATTTCCTTGTCTTTCCAGTGAGGAGATTGGACTAGATATTGTCTAAGTCAGTTCTGATTTAAAATTCTTTGTGCATAGTAAACTCTCCATTTGATATTTTAATAGTTTTATTTTGGGGATTAAGGAGGGATTTGATATGGCATTCCCTTAGTGCTATTTGAATCATATATTGAAGTGTATGTTCTTGGAAGTGTTTCACATACAAATATACTGAGAAAAGTGGTTTCTCTTTTTCTTCCAGGACCGTGGCTTTGTGCATATTCATACTCCAGTAATCACATCCAATGACTGTGAGGGGGCTGGAGAACTTTTTCAAGTTAAAGTAAGCTGTGCTTCCCATCTTGGGGGATATATTGCTCTCTGATATTTTTCATTTGAGGGTTTGCTTTAAATATAATGAGAGTTATGTGGATAGAACATGAAATTTTGTTGATAATAATCCTTAAAAAAACATGCATAGAAAATTCACACTTCTCTAATTTTCTGTCCAACCAGCTGTATTACCTTCGTTGTGACTGAAAGGAGTGGATTTTTAATTTGCCTTTTTTATAACTGTGAATTGGTGAACTAGAGAAATTTGAATAAATTAATAAAAATTCTAAGAGATCTTTTCTGCAAATTCAACCCCCAAGTAATATTTTTGGGTGTAACTCTTAAGAGATGGAACTAAAATAGAAAAGTATACATGTGAATATTTTCTTTTTCAGAGTCTTTAGAAAATATATTTTTCATAAGAAATTATTTAGTCTGTATACCTCATGAAGGCTTTTATTTTAATTCTTTGTTCAGCAGTTATTTTTTGAGCTCCTACTATGCGCCACATATTGTCAGCCAGCTCTTGTTGCAGGAAATTTATAAGTTACAAGTTTTTCTTACATGTAGGCAATTGAAAGCCTTTCATTTACCAATTAGACAGCCTGTTTAAAATCATTGACCAGTAGTATAATGTACAAAGAGAAATGTATGTTGATGAGTGGTGCTTTTTGTATTTCTTTCATTTATTTACTGATTTCTGTATCTCTGAGAAATCAAGATTCTTTATATATTTGGGTGATTCCATCAAATGACAAGACCTGTACAAAACGACTCTCTCTGGTTCAGTATATTCTGACTCTTGATAATGATGCTTTTTCTTTATATTATTGAACAGCATATTCACTGGGAGAAGTTATCCTTTGATGTGTCAAAGTCATTATTCAAAATAATAATCAAATGCTGTCTTTCTTCATATGTGGTTTGAAGAAATCTGGATGATAGCCTTCTGCAAAAAGCAGGAAAAAAATGCTTGGTTGAACATTTAAAGTAGGAGTGTTAGCATCTGTATATGAGTTCAAAGAAGGCAGCAGATGATAAAATAACAATATGTAAATTGTAGAAAACATTCTCTTCTAGCTATTTATGTTGTTAATTTTCTCTTTGCACCTTAATAGTCATCTGAATATTGAAATGAAGAGGAATTCCCCTCCTTAAATACATTTCATGATCCCTTAATCTAAACCACCAAATATTAAAAAGTAGATGATAGGGAAGGAAATGTATAATCTAAAGGAGTTTTTACAAATATGAAGGGAATTATTAAAGAGACCCAAGTTAAACAAGTAAAAAAATCTGTAACAAACTTAAATAGTTATAAATTTGGAGCTAACTGCTTTACCACCAGAGAAATCCCCTAAGCAAGTCTGAATGATTACAATATGTGCATTTTGGACTCTAAACAACACAAGGTAAATTACCAAATAAGAATAAATACAGAGAAAGGAGGAAGATGTATTTCTTTTTTTTTTTTTTTAATCGGGGCTTTTTAAATTTTATTTATTTTTGGCTGTGTTGGGTCTAAGTTACTGCGCACGGGCTTCTCTAGTTGCAGGCGAGTGGGGGCTACTCATTGCAGTGGCTTCTCTTGCTGTGGAGCATGGGCTCTAGGCGCGCGGGCTTCACTAGCTGTGGCACGTGGGCTGAGTAGTTGTGACTCGCAGGCTCAGTAGTTATGGCACATGGGCTTAGCTGCTCCACGGCATGTGGGATCTTCCCAGACCAGGGCTCAAACCTGTGTCCCCTGCATTGGCAGGCGGATTCTTAACCATTGTGTCACGAGGGAAATCCGAAAATGTATTTCTGAAGCTAAACAAATGAGAAGTGTTCTATGTTCATAGTACTCCAGGGCCAGGTTGAGGAGTTTTATGTAGTGGAATTAGGCTTTGTCTATTCAGAGTGTCAGAAAGGTGGTCTTCACCTGCAGGGGTGGGATATGGAAGGTGGGAGGGAGGGAGACGCAAGAGGGAAGAGATATGGGAACATATGTATATGTATAACTGATTCACTTTGTTATAAAGCAGAAACTAACACACCATTGTAAAGCAATTATACCCCAATAAAGATGTTAAAAAAAAAAAAAAAGGTGGTCTTGAATTCATTGATACTAGGCTCCTGCATTCAGGGTCTAGCACAGGATTCAGCAGTCTGTGGCTTTTGTTTTATGAGCCCACTGTCCTTGTTGCTTTCAGCAGTTCAGCTCCTAAGATTTGTCTTCTGCCTACCAACACACTCTCCTCTGAAAGCAGTGCTCCTTCTTCTTCCCACCTCACACATCTCTACAATTCCAAGCTTCATTGTGTGGATTTCTTCCTGACTTCATGTAGAGGCATAGGGGTTTGAGTCTTGGCACCCTACTGTTAGGAGGAAGTGAAGTGTCACATCTAAATCCTTGCTTCTCTTAATAGTGCTCTTTTTTGCTCTGATAACAATGAAGTCCAGTAACTACTTAAAGATAAGGATGCCTGGTACATACTCAGGTTTGAGGACAGCAGTAAGATGCCACCTTGAAATGCACAGTAAGAACATAATACACTGTCGAGAAGTAAATGCATGTCCCATCATTTTAGTTTTCTTGTTCCTCATTCCCATTTCCTGCCTTAAGATTTCAGATATTTGCTAAGGTTTGAGGACTCCTGAATACACATGTAGGAAGTTGCATTCAAAAGCATTAATTTGTTATTCAGCAGACCTTTGGTACCATCTGGGTTGAAGATTCTGTGCCAACTGTTAAGGGGATATAAAGATGTAGTCAGGGTTCTGATTGGTGAAGCTGGTGAGTTAGCAGGGCATAAGAAAGGAAGGAGCATGCTTTTCATTCACTGTTGATGTTACTTATCCTACAATATTCTTTGGTTGTACATTGTGGTACATGAATCTTTTTGAATTATGGTTTTCTCAGGGTATATGCCCAGTAGTGAGATTGCTGCGTCGTATGGTAGTTCTATTTTTAGTTGTTTAAGGAACCGCCATACTGTTCTCCATAGTGGCTGTATCAAGTTACATTCCCACCAACAGTGCAAGAGGGTTCCCTTTTCTCCACACCCTCTCCAGCATTTATTGTTGCTAGATTTTTTGATGATGGCCATTCTGACCAGTGTGAGATAATACCTCATTGTATTTTTGATTTGCATTTCTCTACTGATTAGTGATGTTGAGCATTCTTTCATGTGTTTGTTGGCAATCTGTATATCTTCTTTGGAGAAATGTCTATTTAGGTCTTCTGCCCATTTTTGGATTGGGTTGTTTGTCTTTTTGATATTGAGCTGCGTGAGCTGCTTGTAAATTTTGGAGATTAATCCTTTGTCAGTTGCTTCATTTGCAAATAATTTCTCCCATTCTGAGGGTTGTCTTTTGGTCTTGTTTATGGTTTCCTTTGCTATGCAAAAGCTTTGAAGTTTCATGAGGTCCCATTTGTTTATTTTTGTTTTTATTTCCATTTCTCTAGGAGGTGGGTCAAAAAGGATCTTGATGTGATTTATGTCATAGAGTGTTCTGCCTATGTTATTCTCTAAGAGTTTGATAGTGTTTGGCCTTACATTAAGGTCTTTAATCCATTTTGAGTTTTTTTTTTTTATTTTTATTTATTTATTTTTGTGGTACGCAGGCCTCTCACTGTTGTGGCCTCTCCCATTGCGGAGCACAGGCTCCAGACGCACAAGCTCAGCAGCCATGGCTTACGGGCCCAGCCGCTCTGCGGCATGTGGGATCTTCCCAGACCGGGGCACAAACCCCTGTCCTCTGCATCGGCAGGTGGACTCTCAACCACTGCGCCACCAGGGAAGCCCCCATTTTGAGTTTATTTTTGTGTATGGTGTTAGGAAGTGTTCTAATTTCATTCTTTTACATGTAGCTACCCAGTTTTCCCAGCATCACTTATTGAAGAGGCTGTCTTTTCTCCATTGTATATTCTTGCCTCCTTTATCAAAAATAAGGTGACCATATGTGTGTGGGTTTATCTCTGGTCTTTCTATCCTGTTCCATTGGTCGGTATTTCTGTTTTTGTGCCAGTACCATATTGTCTTGATTACTGTAGCTTTGTAGTGTAGTCTGAAGTCTGGTGGCTTGATTCCTCCAGCTTCGTTTTTCTTTCTCAAGATTGCTTTGGCTCTTCGGGGTCTTATCTGCTTCTATACAAATTGTGAAAATTTTTATTCTAGTTCTGTGAAAAATGCCATTGGTAGTTTGATAGGGATTGCATTGAATCTGTAGATTGCTTTGGGTATTATAGTCATTTTCACAATGTTGATTCTTCTAATCCAAGAACATGGTATATCTTTCCATCTGTTTGTATCATATTTAATTTCTTTTATCAGTGCCTTATAGTTTTCTGCATACAGGTCTTTTGTCTCCTCAGGTAGGTTTATTCCTAGGTATTTTATTCTTTTTGTTGCAATGGTAAATGGGAGTGTTTCCTTAATTTCTCTTTCAGATTTTTCCATCATTAGTGTATAGGAATACAAGAGATTTCTGTGCATTAATTTTGTATCCTGCTACTTTACCAAATTCATTGATTAGCTCTAGTAGTTTTCTGGTAGAGTCTTTAGGATCCTCTATGTATAGTATCATGTCATCTGCAAACAGTGACAGCTTTACTTCTTCTTTTCCGATTTGGGTTCCTTTTATTTCTTTTTCTTCTCTGATTGCTGTGGCTAAAACTTCCAAAACTAGGTTGAATAATAGTGGTGAGAGTGGGCAACCTTGTCTTATTCCTGATCTTAGTGGAAATGGTTTCAGTTTTTCACCACTGAGAACAATGTTGGCTGTGGTTTTGTCATATATGGCCTCTATTATGTTGAGGCAGGTTCCCTCTATGCCCCCTTTTGGAGGGTTTTTATGATAAATGGGTGTTGAATTTGTTGAAAGCTTTTTCTGCATCTATTGAGATCATCATATTGTTTTTATCCTTCAGTTTGTTAATACAGTGTATCCCATTGATTCATTTGCATATATTGAAGAATCCTTGCATTCCTGGGATAAACCCCACTTGAGCATGGTGTGTGATCCTTT